GGCAACAAATAGCTCTCATTTCGATGGAAACTGTGAACATAACGGTAACCAACGCTACGATCACATAACGGATCAGTTTTTCCATTTTGTTGTCGAAATCAAACCGATAGACAAGATATACGTAAAAGAGGTAACCCTCAATAAATCCAATGGGAATGCATAGCATTTGTCTCAAAATGGGATATTTGTCGCCATAGAAGAAGTGATAAATGAAGGGATACTTTGTTTTAATAAAATTAGCAATTTTGCTTAAATACAACTCTATTTGGTAGCGACACTTCATTTTATAAGATTATTTGATGTCAATTAATATCCAAACAGTTTATGAAGTGTTAACTAAAGATTTGTTAAGTAGTTGTTTGTTTGTAAATATAGTAAATTGTAAAACAAATTTATGCAGAAATTAACATTGAATTTAAATTACTCTAAAGTTAATTATTAAAAACACGCGCTTTTTGAGATTAATTAAAAATAATAATCTCGAATATTCTGTATAAATGGTTTTGTAATTTACATATTGTTAACACATTTTGTGATTCATTGAAAGGTATTTAATAAATACTATTTATTGTGATAATTCTGTGGAAAGATAGTACTGTGTATTTGTAAATTGAAAGTCAAGTCAAAATTGTATAAAAGTCTGAAAGAATTGATTACTTGTTGACTGCTATTAATATATGATATGAACTACAGATTCTGAACCACAGAATCAATGCCTCGCTATTTAGGACTTAATTTCTATAAACTCGCCACAAATGGCAGTCATATTAATGTCATTAATCAAGACATTAATGTACGACGAATTGGCTTGTTGTGGTATAGCAGTGAGATTTTTATTATTTTATATAATTTTATCAATTTTGATAGCATTGTGTAATTTATGGTCAAATAGATTGCATAACAATGTGTTTGCGGTCATCACGTGAACCGACTAACAAAAAGGCTTCATTTGAATCCATGGCTTTTGAACAACAAATTAAGACAATACTGACCGGTGGGAAAGTAGCCGAGTGTGAGGGGCCGGTAGTCTGTGATTATTCTGTGGAACAGCACCTTAAAGATTCTGGTATTAAATAAATATAAAAATATAAACATAAAAATTAAATCCTTGACATGAAATTTTGAATTTGTTTGAAATCATAAGAAATGGCATACAATGAGAGCAATGCATTCAAACCGGTGGTCAAAAAGACTGACTTATATAGTAATCGCCGTTATATTCAACACCGAGAATGAGGTCCTAATGATTCAGGAAAGTAAGAGTAGTTGTCGTGGGAAGTGGTGTTTCCCGATGGGTAGAGTCGAGGCGAATGAGCAGCTCGTGGACGCCGTCCGCAGAGAGACTCTCGAGGAATCGGGTCTTGAGATCCAACCGACGGCTCTGGTTATTGTCGATCACTCGACTCACCATTGGTTTCGGTTTGCATTTGAGGGTCAAGTGATTGGCGGTCAGCTCAAGACCAAAGAGGACAAGAAGTCTATCAGAGCTCTTTGGTATTCAGATAAGGCTTTCCAGGAATTAAGTCCTTTGCATATACGGGGAAACAAAAATAGTTTTGTAGCTATGATTCAATTGACTCGGAATCACAATTCTGTGCAGAATTTTGTCAATAGTTTGCGGTTACCTTTCATTCGAGCCCACAATCAGGCTCTTAAGGATCGTGTTTGTGGTCAACAGCAGACAAAAGTAGTTTTTAGTGATTTTTAATTATTTTATGCCAATATTAATGATTATAATTATTTTTAGTGAAAAGCACTTTATTCTGGTGTCTAAAGCACCGACACCTCATCTGCCGGTCTGTGAGCTATACCGTGAGACTTATATTTCTGAGACAATTGAACTGTTTTTAGAGGTATTTGTCATTTAATGGTCGATATTTCGATGAATTTAAGATAATTTTAATTATATTTATTTTTTGTAGAAAGTCTTCAAATCAAACAAAATGTCAGAATTCGTGTCAATCAATAGGTTTGCTTCGAGTGGAGCACAACGGCATTCCCGAGGGCTGGCGTTTGTGCGCCCGTATACACGATGGCATTTGTCTCACACTACTGGCCAACAGTCCGGTGCTCTATGAGGACGTCCCGGTCATTGCACCCGAATCTGGCTATACATTGGTTGAGTTGATGCCACCGATGGTAAGACATTTCAACGGTTTACTGCACAACACTTCCAGAGAATTACCTTTCGATCCACACATTGATCTCAACTTTGATTTTGCGAATTGAGTCCACATTTCATTGATTTAAAAATCTATTCAATTTCTTAATAATTATTTGTTTTTAAGTTAAACTATTTTTTACACTTATTTGGATATTTAATGTTTTTAAATGTTTAATTGCTTTTAATATAAATGTAGAATTTCTACAATACATGTAAGTACAGTACTTGAATGTTTATAGGCTATAAATTATAGCATTTTTACTGTATATTTGTGTTCAGAATTAATAAAATTCTTTGAATTCATTTCCTTATCTAATCTCTAAAAGGGTTTAAAATGCAAACACTTTTGAAATTCATATAAATTAATTATTGTATTAAATGTATAAATATATTTTGGATTTAAATACATGTACTGAATTACAGAAGTGAAAAATAACCCAAATACTGGTCAAACAACTCATCAAAATGAAAGTTACCTACAAGTTATTGTAGCAAGTGAGTTTACCTTTGCTCACACTAGGGTTGTTGTCATTCACAATAACAGTAACTATAAATGTATACAAATAAAGTAACATAACATGTGATGAAATGTTTGTTTATTCCGTGAAGTTATCTGAAAATGATTCATAAAACAAATGTGCAAAGTATTCATTATCTTATAAACACGTGTATTATTATATAAGACTTCAAACTGATTTGAAACGTTACTGTAGTTACGTAACTGTAATTCAATTGCAATGTTCACACATTTATTAGTGGTTTTGCATTCATTTGAGTGAATAGTTTTCAGTTCATTAAATCATTTGCAAAAAACGTTTCATTATTATTGCTGTCAATTCATCGTATAATACATGACAAGAATTTGCGTACAAATCATGGATTCATTGGACACACAGATTGAGACAATACTTAACGGTCAGCCCCTGCCTCAAGACATATCAGTTATTTGCGATTATAATCCATGGCATCAGTTCAGTAGATCCGGTATTTATTATTATATTTATATTCAAAGAGATTATATTAATTGTAATAAAACTTTGTTTCAATTGTCACCAGAATTGAAGCCAACTCTTCGGAAGAATGTGTATTATATAGCGGCAGCCATTGTCTTCAATGAGAACATGGATGTGCTTATGGTTCGGGAATCAAAACCCAAATATCGTGGGAAGTGGTCACTACCATCGGGAAGGGCTGAACCAAATGAACAGATTATAGACACCATTAGGAGGGAAGTGCTCGAAGAGTCGGGTCTGGAGATCGCACCGACGGCTTTGGTTATGATGGAGACCTCTTCTAAATATGTTTTTAATTTCGTATTCACTGGACGTGTAATCGGTGGTCAACTTAAGACTGTGGCCGACAGTGACAGTGAGTCCATTGAGGCCAAGTGGTGCTCACAGACAGACATCTGTTCAATGAATCTGCGATACGAAGACACTTTGGATGTGATAAGTGTTGTCCGTAATTATAACAGATCTGTGGCAGCGATTCCGTACCATATCTCACGATTCACTGCCATTGGGGCTCATAATAGGATGTTATTAAGAGTGGTATTCACTGTCAAAAGGGAACAAAAGTATGATTTAATTGTTGTATCAATTAATTCATTATTAATACAGTTTTATATTTTATACTAATCTGTGATATATTTATACTGTAGTAACAGTCACTACATACTCATCTCAAAGCCACCGTCCCCTCATCTACCTGTATGCGCAATAAATGAGCAAGCTAATTTAAAGAATATCCTCTATGTTTTTCCTAAGGTTTGGATTAAATTTATTTTAATTAAATTGTCGAAAATAAACGATAAAATAATTTATATATTGTTATTATAGGAAATTTTTATCAATGAATACCCGGCTGACTCACTACTGGGTGTGCTATCGGTGGAGCACAACGGAGTTCCCAAACACTCTCACGACGGCCTCTGTATCACTGTCTTAGCCAAGAGTCGGGTGCCATATGAAGGTGTGGGCAGAATATGTGGTGATTATGAATGGATGCAAATGAGTCCACCACTAGAAGCGCTGCTCACCCGTTGTCTCGACAATCCTATGACAGAGTTAATTCAATGGAGATCTAAGCACTGGAATACAAGACGTTAAGAGACTGACTAATAGGACTTCCTATTCAAAAGACATGGATAACTTTTCCACACAATTAGCTGTTTTATAAAATTTTATTTTGACTTCAATTTACTTAAATGTATTTCTATATTATTCGGTAATGCGATTAATAATAATATTATTATATAGTTAACATTGAAAAGTTATTATATTTATTAAATTGTAATTGAATAAAATAATTTAAATATGACAAACAATTTAATAAAATGAACTCAGTCTTAAGTTGGCAGAGATGTCACTGTCGATGACATTCATCCTAATAATGAAGACAGTAATTAAAATTACAGGAACTGTTTCTGCATTTCTTATAAATATAATTAAATGATTTATAAATAATTTAAGTTACAAAACATTCAACAAGTCATTTACTAACAGTGGCAAAAGTTTCATTTATTACAATACAATCATATTGTTTTATAAAACATTTTCACTGTACTAGTTTTGATTGTGTAATACTATATTCAGTGTCATGGAAAATACACAAAACTGTAAATTCTTTTTAATTTATTTATTGTTTTAAAATCAAAGTATTTTACACTAATTTTGTTTATGATTTTGAATGTTTAATGTTTTATAATATAAATGCACAAATGTAGAATTGTTTAAATTTTTAATGATATCATATTTGTTTAAATTAATATTTTTATCTATTCATTTCATTATCTAATCTGTAAAAGTGCTTAAAGTTCAAAACCCTTGAAATCAATGTATTCAGCGTATTGTTTTGGAGTTAAAATAGTATATTGTAAATAAATAATTAATGTGAGGAGTATAATCTACAAAATACATAACATTCTACATTGAACCGGATCAATGAATATATTGCATTATGTGTTTGTGTTCATTTATAATTAAATAATTAGCAAAAATCATTTTAATATTTCAATTACAAAGAATTTGGATACAAGTTATGGATTCATTGGACACACAGATTGAGACAATACTTAACGGTCAGCCCCTGTCTCAAGACATACCAATTGTTTGCGATTTTAATGACTCCATCAATAAATCCGGTATTTATTATATTTATAATTATAGAGATTATATTAATTGCAATAAAAGTTTGTCTCAATTGTCACCAGAACTTGAAACAATTGTTCAGAAGAATGTCTATTATAATGTAACGGCTGTGATATTCAATGATAACATGGATGTGCTTATGATTCAAGAGGCACATCGCAAATGTCGAGGTCAGTGGTCACTTCCAACAGGAATGGTAGATCCGAATGAACAGATAATAGACGCCATTCGGAGGGAAGTGCGCGAAGAATCTGGTCTGGAGATGGAACCGACGGATTTAGTTATGATAGAGAACTCGAATGCGTTTATGTATTTAGTTTGTAATTTTAGATTCATATTCTCCGGGCGTGTAATCGGTGGTCAACTGAAGAGTGTTGAGGACAGTGAGTCAATTCAGGCTAAGTGGTGGTCTGAGAGTGACATGAGTTCATTGAATCTGCGATACGACGACATTTTGGATGTCATAAGTGTTGTCCGCAATCATAACACATCTGTGGCAACGATTCCGTACCATATCTCACGATTCACTGTCAGTGGAGAACATAATAAAATGTTATTAAGAGTGGTATTCACTGTGAGACGCAATCAGAAGTAAGTTCATTATGAATATAAGCTCATGTATTAATTGTATGTTAAATGTATATTTATACGGTAGTAAAAGACAATACGTACTCATCTCAAAGCTGCCATTCCCTCATCTACCTGTGTGTGCGATTAATAAGAGAAAAATTTTAAGGACCACTCTCATTGATTTTCTAAAGGTTTAACCTGGAGCTAAATATGAGTTTTTGAATTTAATAATATAGAAATAATTAAAAATTTGTATAGAAAAGACTGTTTAAGACATACATAGTCGGTACACTACTGGGTGTGCTGTCAGTTGAACACAACGGAGTTCCCCGAAATCCACTAGACTTGCCTCACGACGGCCTCTGTATCACTGTCTTAGTGAAGAGTCGGGTGCCATATGAAGGTATGGGCAGAATATGTAGTGATTATGAATGGATGCAAATGAGTCCATCACTGGAAGCGCTGCTCGCCCGTTGTCTCGACAATCCTAACACAGAGTTAATTCAATGGAGACCTAAATTCTGGAACAAAAAACTCCTTAAGAATGAGAAAAACATGTCTTCCCATTCAAATAACATGGATAAACTGTCCACTCAATTAACTGCTATGTAAATTATTATAAGTAATTTTTATTATGATTTAAAGTAATTACAAGTATTTTTATATACTTTTTAATGAGATATTTCATTTAAATTTTTATTTTTACAAGTTTTTTGAATTTTACTAATATATACATATATATTCATACATATACATATAATATATTCTTTATAATAAGATACAGTTCATTCAATAAAAGTTTTTATATTTGAAGGTCCGTATGCATTAATAGCGGATAGCATTATATTTTGCTTAAATATAAAGGGAACTAATGCTATACTATATCAGACTTATTCTCAAATGAAGTATCAAGGGAATTTTAATTATGAGCCTTATGACAGCAAAGTTTGGGCGCCACTTGTCACCAAACAATTTAACCAAAACCCTATTGACAAGTGACGCCCAACTTTGACCTACTCTAAAGGACCGCCCCTTTTCTTGATTTGACAATATGTCTGATGCTATACAAACGCTACTTACATGTGAGTAATTGGTACCATACTAGAGAGACCAGCAAAACTCCGTTAATACAGAAATAGCTACAATTATAAGGTCTTAAGTTGATCAACTTTTAAACAAATATAAACACTTAGATAAAACAATAGCATCACCTTTAAAATTTTTATTTTAATTATTCACTATCAATTAATCTGTGTATATAGTGATAATATTTTATACTGTAAAGGCTTGTAGAACATTTCTCTATTAACGTACTTTTGCTGGTGAGTGTATATAGATTTGCAAAACGGCTATCCGCTATTAATGCATACGGACCCCGCTATAAATTGAGAATTAATAAAACTACATGTACTTTGTAGTTTGTAGTTTTGTGGCAGCTATATGTCAATACACAGAATATATTGTAAATTATTTTAATTTTAATTGTATAAACAAATATCAAGTTTTCCCTATAAATGCACTAAATGTACGGTTAAAGTGATCTCAAATATCACTTCTACGGTCGCTCTCTCCACCCAAATGCCTAAACAGACCACCAGTACTGTCAGTAGTGGACAGTGATTGCGCTGATGAAGGACAGAGATAATTACTGTCCGAAACAAATGATTGCAATTTTTGTCCGCAATTAATACCGAAGACAATAATCGGTCAAATTGTGTCACAAATTGTGAGTTGAAAAGTAAATTTTATTGTTATTAAAATGACTACTTGTGACAACATAAACCTCAATCAAATCATACATGTACTTTCTAATCATTTCCTTATCTAATCTCTAAAGGTGTTTTAAAAAACCATGGAAATGCATAATAGTATCATGCCACATATTTAGGGTGTATTTCGGATTTGAATGTTTAATGAATGGTAAGACTTAAATCTCTATAGCCTATGAATTGCCAGTGAATAAACAAACAGGTCAACCAACTTTGCTAAATATCACCTGTGTTTTTATCTGTGACCATAATAGGTTTGTAGTAAACTCATTTTATTCTCAATCTGGCCAAAAGTATCCTATAGCCCATAGGTTATAATGAATATAGGCTAGTTTTTGGCCAGATTAAGAATAAAATGAGTTTACAAACTTTGTACTCCATGTGTGAGCCACAACTTTTTACTCCAGTACACCATATGATCATTATTTTCATGAAATGTTAATATTCACAATATTTGGTTTAATTCATGAAGTTATCCTAAAATGATTAATAAAATAGTTTTAGTATGTTATGCATTATTACATGAGATTTCCAACTCATTTCGAACCCTTTCTATTGATAGCTTATGTTCTGTTCACTAATGTATAGCTAATGTTATTCTATTGCAATTTCTTTGTCATTCACTCCAATGTTATTCATTCAGTAGTTTTGCATTCAGTTGTCTCAATACTTATCAATCAAATCATTTCATTATCACAAGAATTTCGATTCAAATTATGGATTCATTGGACACACAGATTGAGACAATACTTAACGGTCAGCCCCTGTCTCAAGACATACCAGTTGTTTGTGATTATAACCCATACGACCAGTTCAGTAGATCCGGTATTTATTATTATATTTATATTCAAAGAGATTATATTAATTGTAATAAAACTTTGTCTCAATTGTTACCAGAATTTAAGCCAATTATCAAGAAGAATGTCTATTATATAGTGACAGCTGTTATCTTCAATGATGACATGGATGTGCTTATGGTTCAGGAGTCTAAATCTGGAAGTCGTGGGAAGTGGTCACTGCCAGCAGGAAAGGTAGACCCGAATGAGCAGATAATAGACGCCATTCGGAGGGAAGTGCTCGAAGAGTCGGGTCTGGAGATCGAGGCGACAGATCTGGTGGTGATCGACACGTTTGGCTATAATTTTAGATTCACTTTCTCTGGACGTGTAATCGGTGGTCAACTCAAGACTGTGGCCAATAAGCACTCAATTGAGGCCAAGTGGTGCTCCCAGAGTGCCATCAAGTCATTGAATCTGCGATACGAAGACACTACGGATTTGGTAAATGTTGTCCGCAATCATAACATATCACTGGCAATGGATCCGTGGCGTAGACCTCACTTCACTGTCATTGGAGCCCATAATAGGATGCTATTGAGAGTGGTATTCACTGTCAGACGCAAACAAAAGTTAGTTTTGATTTTCATTATACTTTTTACAATGTTTTAAATTAATAAACCTACGGTATGTTTATAGCAACAGACAATACGTACTGATCTCACGGCTACCGTTCCCTCATCTGCCCGTCTGTGCAATGCATGAGAAACACAATTTGAAATCAATTCTCACGGCTTTTCTTAAGGTTTTATCCGAGACTAAATTAATGTTAAATTATTATTATATGAAAGTAATTAAAATATTTGTATTATAGGAAAAACTAATTAAGAAATATCCGGTTGACTCACTTCTGGGTGCGTTGTCAGTTGAACACAACGGAGTTCCCCGAAGTCCACAGGACTCACCCCACGACGGCCTCTGTATCACTGTCTTAGCCAAGAGTCGGGTGCCGTATGAAGGTATGGGCAGAATATGTGGTAATTATGAATGGATGCAAATGAGTCCATCACTGGAAGCGCTACTCACCCGTTGTCTCGACAATCCTAACACAGAGTTAATTCAATGGAGACCTAAGTTCTGGTGCAAAAGGCCCTCAAAAAGGCGGACTAATAGGTCTTCCCATTCAAAAAACATGGATAAACTGTCCGCTCAAATAGCTGCTCTATAAATGTTTATATTTAATTTTTATTTTGATTTAAATATATTTATATTTCTATTTAAAGTTTTTAGTTTTATTTTTAAAATTAGTATTTTTATTTAAATAATTTCATATGGTTGTTATTTATTTATAAAAAATGTTTTTTGCCTATTGTGATATTGTAATTAAATTGTTTATAAATATATGTTCTAAACAATTATTTTTCATATACTGTACATGTCTTAATTAAGTTATTAAAATAAAAATATTTTCACTAAATTTGTTGTAACTTATAATTCACTGAGAATATATTTTCATAATCATTAATAAAAATTTTGAATGCTTAATTTGATTCTAATATTAATTTAAATTAGTATATTGATTATACTGAATACTTGAATAATTAAATTGTTACAGACACTATATTATTTAAATTTTAAAATTAATCAATTATTTTTAAAATTCATTTTAGACATAAGTATTGAATTAGTTTTGATGAGCTTTGAATATATTATAAACATTTATTACACATTTATGTTATAACTTACTTTAAATAGGAATTAATGTTATTGTGATTCACATCCCGTAAACCTCTCCGTATCCGCTATTATTTGTAATGCAAAGCCATTCCCTCTGAGACTTCAATCCCTTTCAATGCATATAATTGTATACAATATCCGCCGCTTCACTTCATTATAGTTTTTGTGCTCAAAGAGTGTTAATCATTAACACCGACTACACGACAAGTCCAGTGAACATAGACGGCAACAGTTTAATTGATAAAACTTTAATCTCATGTTATGATCACATTCTTCAATAGATTGCAAAACTAAATATAGATATTTTAAATTAATTAATTGCATTAAAATGGTTGATAAATAAAATACTGTAGTTTGGTTTAATTTAGCGATTTGCTCAGTTCACAGTGTTAGTGAGATAGTATAGACAGGTTAACTTTATTTCAGTAATATTAAACGCAATTAATATTAATTTAATATTAATTAATTAGTGTTAAGAAATTGAGAAAATTTAGCCACAAATCATGGATTCATTGGACACACAAATTGCGTTACTTCTAAATGGACAGCCTTTACTATATTAAACGCAATTAATATTAATTTAATATTAATTAATTAGTGTTAAGAAATTGAGAAAATTTAGCCACAAATCATGGATTCATTGGACACACAAATTGCGTTACTTCTAAATGGACAGCCTTTACATGAAGACATACCAGTTGTTTGTGATTATGCTCCCAACGATGAAATCGGTAGCACAGCGCCGGTATTTACTTGTACAGTATATATGAGTTGTGATATTTGTTTCACTTGTTCCCAGAATTGCGACCAATTGTCAGACAGAATGTCTATTATATAGTGACAGCTGTTATCTTCAATGAGGACATGGATGTGCTTATGG